TCAGAAACTTTGATTAGATAATGTATTGGTCCCATCTGGCTAGAATCCAAAGCTCACTGGAGTCTTCAGAAAGCAATGACTTCTATTGAAGTCATTCTATAGCCTTTGGTTCAGAGCCACTCTATTGAACTTACAGAGTTTGAATGACACTTTACAAATCTATAGTTATCTTGCCAGGTATTTAAAATCCTTGCTCATGATCATGGTATTTGACTAACTTCCAGAAGAACCAAGCAGATACTATTAGAAGAGACAACAGTTTATCCAAGACCCCATACAAGGGCCACAGCAAGCTGCTTGACATCTGCAAAGAACATTAGTTAAATACGCATCAATTGACGGATGAATGAGTAAAGCCAAGAGCCCATCTGAACAAGTGAAAAAAGAAAGGATACATATATATATATATATATATATACACACATATATATATGTATATACATATATATATATATGTATACACACATATAAACGGAATGCATTTTTTCTTTACAAACTTAGCTCTAACAGCAACTTGTTTTCAAAAGCCTAGAGGGAAGTGAATCACACTCATTAGGAAAATCAGCCTTCCCCCAATCAATCCAGTGACGTAAACTGTTGTGTAGAATTATTGCACTGGTCACAGTGGCATGGATTAAATGAACTATGCATTTGTACATCAAGCAAAAGTTCTATCTCCAACATGAGGCAGCTACCTGCAGGACAGCAGCTGTGTAACTGCATGCAGTAGCACTTGAACCAACAGAATACATATATCCACAAGGTTTGGGTGGGAAAAAGGGTGCTAAGATGTTGAATATTACAAAAAGGTCTTCTTCATGGTTCAGATCACTTTGACATTGGCATAGCTGGTACCAGTCAATCAGCATGACCTGACAGCTCTTACTTCTGTCACTTGTCAGAAACAAGATGCAGCTATGGCACCTCTGCAAACATTGGCTCCTATTGTGATCACCCCAGCCTCAGACACACCTTTGTACCAGCTGCATAATTTGAGTTGAAGAACTAAAACAGCAATTTGTTATGTCAGCCCTTCCTGGTCTATGTTTCCTGATCAGGAAGAGGGTGTCAACGGTGACACTATCAGTGTAACTGGGCTGCTTAGAAGCCAATTACTTCTGTATAACATCATGTGAGTTTCTTGGATTTGGGTGCTCTGGCAAGCGATGTGCATGATTAAGGCTCACTGTTTCTACTGACTTAGATGAAAAATCCCTCTTAATCAGTACCAAGCATGGTTCCTCACAGTAGCTTATGATTTCACTGAAAGTCTCCCATTCTGATTATACATAGGCCAGACATAGCTGGTGTGATCAGATAAGGTCTGTGTCAGCACTAAGCTGGAACAATACCACCTTCAGTTCTCCAAGATTTTTACAGATGCTGGACACATACCAGAAAATAAGCCTGTTCTCTGACTTCCAGAAGAGGGACTGGCCAAGGTAAGACTGTGACACCACCAGAGCAGAAAGGAGGCTTGAAGTATAAAACTGTAAGCCAAGAATAGGATCTTCAGCCAGGCTCATCTCCTGTGGCCTAGGACCAGCCAGACTGCTGTACACTTCCAACCTAGGAGATACCCTAGAGAAGAGCTCTCTGCCATCTTCCCCTTATGAGGCAGAATACAGTTATAAGCCCATATGCAGTGATGAATTGTATTAAAAACAAAGCAAAAAAAAGGGTCTGCCAGTGTGATCACATATGGGAAGGAGGCTAAAAAGTAGCTGTTTAGGTACATTCAGAGCCACTGCTTGCATATAGGTATTCCCAGCAAGTTGTTCCCTCACAGCATTCCCTTCTCAGGAAACCTCTGGGAAGAGGAATCTGACAGTGGAAACAGGGATCTGGGGATCTGCTCCCAGCTGAATGCTGAGACTCACAGGGCCAACCTGGCAAGGAGTTGCACTCAACAACAGGTCCCTGTGTGCTGTGGCTAGCTCCTCTTCTGAAGGAGGACATATAGTGAGCAATTCCTGCTTTGATGTATTTGTGTCTGCCGCAGACAAGACTCTTGAATGTCTGCTAGAAACTGTGTTTCTTTCCTACTCCTCCTCCTGATTTTTTTTGTTTGGGTTGGGAGGATTGTAGGCAACATAAACACTTGCTCCAGAGGGGGGTAAAAGAAGAAAAACTGATGACCAAATAACTCCAGAAGAATGGGAATTGCCTCCAGGGAGCTCCCCTTCACCCTGCTCTCTCATCAGCTGAGAGAGATTCAACATCATCCTGCTCTGCTAGTTGCTGAATATTTTATACCATGGCTACAAATGCTCCATTTGTATTCAGTTTCTCTCTTTCGTCATATCTATTATAAACGAGTAGTGTCTGGGAACTCTCCCAGGGAAGATTTGCCTGGATGGCTATGGATATTTTATAGTCAAATTGTAAGAGTAAACCAGCTTTCAAGTTCTGTAGAGACGAGAAAAGGTAATAAAAGGGTTATTAAAAAAATAAATAAATGTCGGGGTTTTATATGGCTTCCTTTCATAATGACAGAGCTTCTGTTGGCTCCACGATGGAGCTGGAGCTTCTAGGAGAAGCTAAGAGATATCCTCTTACTGGCACTGCTTGCCAACGGGAGACATCTGATATGCTATGGCTGACTCAGTAGTGCTGGCATCTGGCTTGGTAGGACCAGGCTGACACTAGGTGAGCCAGGGGTAAGAGCTGTGTCCATATGCACTGGGGACAGGTGGCAATATGGGAAGTGAAATGGTCATGGCCCAGGCTGGTAAACACTTATCTTTACCTCCATATTGTCACAGGTGTGATACAGGTAGGAGACCAGGGTCTGTCTCTTCACTTGGCAGGAGGAGTCCTAGCAAGAAAGCCTCTATTTGAGGGCCAACTCCCCCCTTGTTCAAGTGGGGACTAAAAAGAAACGTGGCCACAAGCTAAAGAAGCTTGCTTTGCCATCAGGCAGCCTGCCACTTCCAGACTCTCAGGGGCCTTCAGCCAGCATGGACATCAAGACTGCCCCAAAATATCAAAAAGAATCCAAAAAATTACAGAATATCATGACTGGCCCTGAAGGAAGCTACAGAGCAGAGAGCAGATATGAGGGACTGAATTTCAAATTGCAGATGGATATATTGTGGGTTTCCCAGACCAATCCGCACCTTCAAAACCCAAGAGAAAAGAACTTCTCATTTCTTTTTCTCTCTATCTATTCAGTCTAATTTTTAAATAATTCATTCACTCCCGCTCAGCCTTAGCCATTCTGGAAAATCATCTCATGGTGTTAAACAGCCTATTTACCTCACAAATATTCACCAGCCCCTTTATGCAACAAGGGGGAAATGGGGACCAGGCAGGAACAATGGCATTGAATATAAGGGAATGATCAATTATAAAAGGCACCTGATGCTGATGAATATAAAACGATACTCAGTGGCTTTCCTAGGTCTTTGGTTTAACAATATCTTTGGCTCAGGGTAAGTCGTCGGTGAAGCAAATGAATAAAGAGTTAAAATACTAAAAGCCAAAAATCTGTAATGAATTGATTCCCCAGCACATCCAGTCCACACCACCTCTTGAGAAACCACAGGAATGCTGTCAAACAGCTGTCTTCCAATACAGAGCAAAAGCTAAGGGGCTTTTACTTTCCCAGTGAAATGAACTTGGAAATAGGGCACAGCTGCATTCTTAAAGGAGACAAAGAAAGAGGAGGTTGCTTTGTGCTCCTCCCTTCACATCTTCTTTCCCTGGCAGTCTCCCATGTTTCCCTGCTGGTCTGTGTCATCCTTGATTGCAGTCACAAAGATCTAATCCCTTTCAAAAATGCCAGGAGAAGACATGTGGGCATTAGTCAAGGAAGCCAACAGACCACAATGGAAAATGGCTGAGAAGAAGGGAATTTGCCATCCAGCATTAACAGCTGGACTCTGTCAGCTAAGAAAGCCCAGCAAACCTGGGAAAACTTGGTGTCAACCAGTGCCAATAGTTTTCTGCCAATGCCAGTGTGAAGACAGCATGGAGCAGATCATCTGCAGGAGAGATACAGGTGTGTGGAAACACCTCTGACCTAGCTGGACTTAGTGCAGAAAGCAAACCTGAGTCCGCACAGCAAAGACAGAGAAGGAGACCTGCTCTGTGAACCACTGCCCAACTACTTCAACCGGCATCCATGGGATCAGGTTTTCAGCCTAGCCCCCACTGAGAAAAGGTCTCAGATTTTGCAGCTTAACCTCTCTGCTGTGCCACATTGCACAGAGATGTGGTGGCTGGACTCAAGAGCATGTTTCCTTCCAATGACATCAATGGTGCTGAAGCAGAGAGCTGTTAATTAACCTCGTTTATTGAAGGGTGGACACATTCCTGCCTGGGCCTGCTTTTTCAGTCAGGCTCCAGTCCAGCAGGTGATTAATAACCTAGCGTGCTGTGGAAAGAGTACATCTATTATTCAAATTAATGAAATTATAATCAAGAGGTGACGAATTAGCAATTGCTCCTTGACTGGATATGGAAACTCATTAGTGTGCTGGGCGCTGCCGTGGCACTCACTGTACCAGTATGTACAGAGTATGGCTGGAGAGGAGGGAGTCAGGCAGAGCTGAGAGCCCCTTCTCACAATTCTGCCCTGGCACACACATCTGGAACACTCCAAAGTAGCTGCACCCACCACAGAGTCCCACAGAGTACCTCCATCTCCTCTCTGATGTCACACCACCTAGAGCAAGGTGGCTGTGGTCACAACAAGGAGAAACATGTGAACATAGCTGTGGTGTTTTTTCTTGTGGAGGGTAAGGAGCCATGTTCTAGAGGAAACATGGCAAGGAGTGATGGCTGGCTTCAAGATACCATTCCGAGGACAGCCTCACAACATGCTGGGTGCAGGCAAAGAATAACTCTCTGAGGACCATCCTGGTGCTCTGAGTACTGAGTGAGACTCTCAGCCACTCAGATTGTTGGCTGCAGTCATAGCTGGTGGAGCTGATGGGGAGGTCTTCCCCTTACACCCTGCACTAGGCCAGGGGAACCCATCCCCAGACAGTACTCACCGATGTGCTTGCCGTACATGTGGTAGTAGAAGGAGACACAGTAGTACTTGGCCGTGATGTTGTATAGTGGGCTGATCAGCCGGGCTTTGTCTCCTGTCACCCGGGGCCGAGAGGCCTCGATGAACATGTAATAACCTACACAAGGAGAGAAAAAGGTAGGGAAAGCCATTGCATCTTCCCCCCTGCAAGTAATGGGATGCCTGGGGCTGAGAGACTCCTCCTGATGCATGAGACGTGGCCTTGCTCTTCTCATCCCATTGGATCCCATCCAGAAACGTGCAGAAAGAGGATTGCAGAAAGGATTCAGTGTATCTGGCCTAAGCAGTGTTGTTTTGATCTAAAGAGAGCAATGCCAAAGTAGTTGCTACCAACCCAAGGAGGATCAGGTTAACTATTTTTTGACATCATTTTTGGTGCTAGGTCTGGCTGGTGTACTCAACAATAATGGGAAAAGCCACTTCCTTAGCTGGCCTTCAGGTATTTCCCTTTTCTTTTTTTTTTTTAATTTTTTGTGTTCAGAGTTGGGCTTGCATATGAATTTATTTTCCTCATTAGAGAAAGGGGAAAGCAATATCCAGCTAAATCTGGTGTGGGTCCTATCTCGTCAGATAGGATGAGAAATACACAACAGCAGCCTCCTCCAGTCCAGCTTGGGGCCCCCACTGGCACTCCCCCAGCCTCATCCCTCCTGCTGGTGCTTGGTATGGAGGAGAATTGCCCCATGGAGATCTTCTTTGAGGAAGCAGCTGGTTAAACCCAGCAGGGACATTTTCAGGTGTTAGAGACGTTCTCTTAATTGTTTATCCTTTTTCTGACTTCAAAACAAGCATCAAATGGGACAAGGACATTAGGCAGCAGGCAATTAGCTAGTAACAAGAACTAATGCTCACACTATTCCCTTAAACAAAGTTGTGGGTGTTTTAATTGTGTGTTTAATGCCAATCAGTAACATGCAAATTAACTGCCTGCTCCCTGCACCCTGTGCGGGGGAGAAGCATGTGTGCAGAAAGCAGATCAGCGCTCTGCCATCTCCCACAGCCTCAGGACCCTGATGCCTTGTGGCTTGCATCTCCCCCCAGAACTGAGCCAGAAGAAACCCAGAAGTGTGCCTACCCTCTGGCGTACCGCTGATGTCCGTGGGTGGCCCAGTGTTGACAGTACGCTTGGGGTTCTGGGTCAGGGCGTTCTGCCGTGTCCAGTCAAAGTTGTCCATCTTGTCTTGCACGAAGCCGCAGATCTTCTCATCCTCAAAGCGACAGGTGTTATCTGCAGGGAAGGACAGGGAGTGCCGCTTTTCAGACCTCCTCCTGGGGCTGCCTTGCTGCTTCAGGAGGGTATTCAGCACAGGTGAGCAGCCCCCAGCCTCAGGAGGAGGCTGAAAAGGTATATTTTCATGATGGCTACAATTAAAGAATGGTTAATCCAGGCTGACGGATGCAATTATCTGACAAAATAAAATACAGCTAACAGGACTTAAAAGAGATTCTGCTGGGAGGTCTAAGGGAGCTGATATAGAGGATGATAAAAAGAGTAACAGAGTGATGAAGGCAAGCAGGCCATGACAGCTTTTAAACCAGAACAGCCTGATGGTAGAATAATCTTCCCAGGAAAGAGGTAAACTTCACTCTGGTCTACGTATTAAATTAAACTATGGCACACATGAAAAAAACAGCTGTGGAGAAGAGGTCAGCTCAGTGCTATAAATGTGTAATTTAGCTAGAGCATATTCAATTTATACCAGCTCAGAGGTATATCTGCTATTGCAGCTTATGCGGGTTCTCCTAACAAAATGCATTACACTGGCAAAAGATTTTCATGTAGCATCAGCTACATGTGAAAAAGAGCTTGCTTATGCTACTACCACAAGCCAATCACAGCCTATGGCAATATGAGATGGGTGAAAAATCTTGTGTATAGACACAACCCAATGTGGACCTGCAGAGAATGGAGCAAATCAAACTTAACTAGAATTAAGATGGTCTTCTGTTGAACCTTTGTGGTGAAAACTAGTTTCTGAGCCTCAAAACCAAAGCCTTTCACTGCTGATACAGTTAGAGAAGAAGAGAAAGAATGAACAGAAAAGAAAGAAAAAACAAATCAAGATTAGCTATGAAAATTACTTTGTTTTTTTCAAATGTTTCCAGGAATGAAATCAGAGCTGGAGAATGAGATGAGAGAAGGATCTCAGAGCTCTCGAGTGGTGCAGACACAGCAAGCAGATCTCTTTACCTTCTGCCTTTACATTACAGCCAGGGGGGTATGCTATGAAACTGAACAATAAAGTAATTAAATTCATGAAAGAACACAAAGAAAAGAAAAACATGTTCTTTCTCAGGTTATGGAATGTCTTAGAAACTCATCCATGGCACGCTGAACTCAGTTATTTGTGGTTTCCCCCCCAGTTCCGGCTATCATGGACAGATGAGAAGCAGCCTGAACACCTACCTGCATTTGCTTTGTGCCATGGGAGGTTCCAGTTGAATATCAGGAAAAATTTCTTATTCAAAAGAGTGGTGAGGCAATGGCAGAGGCTGCCCAGGGAGGTGGCGCAGTCACCACCCCTGAAGATGTTAAAAAGCCATCTGGATGTGGCACTGAGGGATGTGGTTAGTGGACATGGTGGGGGTGGGTCTTCTCCAACCTTAATGATTCCATGATGAACGGACAGCATTTTGTCTCTGAGACGCTGCACCTATCTTCCAGCTTTAGCCAGCATCACCTCCTCCCATTTGGGAAACGAAACTGCTGTCTGCCATACAGACACCGACAGCCTGCAGCCCCATGCAGCAGGGCCATGGAGGCTCTCTTCTCCCTTCTTATGTGATTCTTACACCAAAGCAGTCAGGAAAAAGAATGTAGCCTCCTCCATAACCCACAGAATGGCTGGACACTATGCTGCAAGCAAGGGTTTGGTTTGTGGAGAAGGGCAGCTGGCTTTTCTTTTAGCTCAGCAGGAAACACTGCTTCTGTGAGCTGAGCACAGCCATAGGGAGCTCGACTGGGCTGGCCACTTAACTGCTGATTAACCCTGGCTAAGTGCTTTCCGTTCAATCCGCTCATTTCTAATTAGCATCCTAATCCAAATTAGCCACTGCTACACAGTGCAGTGCTGGGCACAGGGAGCTGGAGGAGGTGGCAGGAGCAGACAGGGCAGACACGTGTAGGGTCTGAGGCTGGGCAATAACATCGGCTAGGGGGTCTGCCAGCCCAGCACAAAATCCTTTTGCAATCATAGGAAACAATCAGGACGGGAAGGATTTGCATCTCTGATCCTATTGTGCTTGTGGACCTTTGGAGGAAAAAGCTAGCATTTTTCCCCAGCACAAAATTCCCTTAACTGGGAATATCAGACAGAAAACAGAGCTGAAAACTGTAGCACAAAGGCCTGCCAGGCAGCTGACTGAAAGGGAGCAAATCCCTGAAGAAAACAGCACAGAAACCAAAGAAGGAGGCTGAGGAGAAAGCCCAAGCTCAGGTGGAGACCAGAGAGAAGGTCAGTGCAGGGACAGAGAAAAACAGGGAGCTATGCAAGACAAGGGGACAGTATTCCTGTCTTACAGCTGAGGCCCAGCCCTGGTGGCTGAGAACTGCTGCATGAGAAGTCCATCACACCCTTGGGAACAGGAACGGAGAGCTTCAAGGCGGTAGGAAGGGGCTGCTCTTACTGCTAGAGCACAAGGCATGAGGTGCTGCAGACTCTCAGCTCTTTACATGCCAGAAAAGGGCCATGCCTCTGTCTTCACCTCTCATTCAGATGCAGCCAATTCCAGAAGATAGAGCTCCTAGCAGAGAGCACAGAATGGAGGAGGCTCCTGGGCATGGCACGACACAACCAGGCTTACATGTAACATCACTTGCCATGCGAGAGCAATCTACAGCATGCTGCTTCTGCCTTGCTTGGGATCTCAAGGCACTTTGGGACAACTAATGAACAAGGCTTTATAATATCTCCATGAAGCATCACCACTTTATACATCTCCTGCATTACACACGGTGAAACAGATGCACTAAAACAGACACATCTAAGGTCACAGCAGGCAGTGTCAAAGATGGAAGCAGAACCCTGGTGTTCTGACTGCTGGTTGCTTGGTTTAAAGCAAACCACAGGAAGGCAGAAGCTCTGCTGCTCCTCTGAGTTGGAAGTGGAGGTGCTCACGATAACTCAGGTATATTCAGAGAGTTAGGAAACAGCCAGCGTGTCACCTCTGGGTGATTATCATCAGGCTGACTGAGAGAAACCTATCTGATCCAGCTGCAAAGCAAACCTTTAAGTGACCCACTGCGTCTCAGAGGCTACAGCAGTGATCTGACTGCTGACCTCGGCTGTGTGAAGCAAACCTTCTTTCAGACTCGCACCATCTGCCAGGGATCCTGGCTCAGCACTGTGGAGCAAAGGAACCTTCCTGATTAAAAATTAAACAGTGGCTTTAAATATTGAACACAGAAGTTGTTCTCTGGATTGTTAGAGGCGAGGTGGAAGTAGCAGGGGAGCTGGTTCCTCAAGGGCTGGAGTTAGTGCTGTCTTCACCAAACAGATTTCCTTGGCAGGCTTTGCAGTGGCAGCAGCTCAAAGTGCAGAGATGTTTGCTCCTGGTTATAGACACCTCCCTGCATTCCCAGAGGTGAGACCCTCAGCCATGCCTATTAGCATTTCTTGTTGCTTCACCTCCTCGAGAAACATAATGGAGGTTTTCATTTCAAGTCCTCAGGGGTAAGCAATCCCTGGCCTTGAAATTCTAGCTGCCAAATGAATGCATACAAAAAAATAATAAGATGATCCTAGCTGCAGACTACAGGTGAATAGCAGATGATGAACATTCAAATAAAATTGCCTTCGTCATTTAGCTGTGCTGTGACAGCTGAAACTGGCTTGGAGCACAGGGGACCATGATCTGAGCCTCAGCTCTGTTACAGACCCGCAGTGTGACCTACAGCCCATCACCAGAGATCACTTTCTCCACCTAGAAGATGAAGAAAATGCAAACTGGATTCTGACCTCGAAGTACTCTGGGATTTAAGACACACGTAACAAATTTTTCCATAAGTTTCTAAATCATTTCTACATTTCTAACCAGCAATGGAAGAAAGCTTTACAGTACACTAGCTGGTTGGGTCATATTGGAGCACCATCTGCTTTAATATCCCCATCTATGATACTGGGATAATATGGCCCAATCACATTTTCCATCCTGTCATGAGGAATTAGTGGCAGTCACCTGCTTTAAGATCTGGGATGGGCACAGATTTGAGGAATCCAATTCTAAACACTGGGATCACATCCTGTTCCCACATGTTCATGCTGAGTCAGCAAGTTCAGATCCCTCTGTGCTATGAGGCATTTAGAGAGACAGGACACACAAGCACTGGATGGTGAGCAATGAGACAGGTTAATCTACAACAACCTGCAGCCGATCACCACCCACCGTACATGTCCACCATCCAGAAACATTTTAGCTCCATCACAGCCAGATTGCGGATACATAAGGAATAATATGTTTTTTAATTCTCCTATCACCGAGGTTGCGAGGCTGCATCTGCTAGAACCAGGGAAACCAAACCATACAATGCGAATAAGATGGAAAAGTTTTGGGAGCAACACTGCAGGGTTGGGTTGGAAAGTGAACGTCATATCCAAATGAAATAGCAGAGTAAAAGTAAGAAGGACAGAACAGATTCCCCTGGAGTTTAATCATAACATTAAGATGATCAGCTGTCCTAGGAGATATTTAAAATACTACCTTACCTTATACTACTCAAAGAGAGACTTTTAAGATAAATCCTGGTTTCCAGAATAAGATTAACTGGTTTTTAAGAGTCAGTCTTACTGCTAATTCCTAAATAAGTGAAATATTCAATATCTTTTGTTCACTCCCTGTGCTTTCAGTTTCCCTTTGCTTTATAATCTCAGCACCTGGCTCAGTAACCATAGCACATGCATGCCTGCCCCAATGTCATTAACATCTTATTAGGCTGGGAGAGAAAATGCATGAAGAAATAATTGTATTAAGTGACTCTCAGAGTTTGTAAATTAATCACCATTGTGCATGCCCTTGGATCAGGCTGCCAGAGGCATTAATCATCCAATCTTTGCCTTTCACTTGAGAGCTCTCAATGTTTGTTCCCAGAATTTGGCTGGGCAGCCTAGCGTGAGGATACCTTTGCAATCACAACACTTTTTTTCTGGAGGTGGTGGTAGCAAGGGAAGTGGGGGTAAAAAGAGGTAGGAGTAGGGATTTCCATGCTGCTGAACTGAGAGGCTTGGAAGCAAGTTGTGGCCCAGAGACAGAGCTATGAGGCTTTGGGCTCACATTTGCAAAGGGCTCGTGTTTGCAATGGCAACAGGCCTGAAAGGAAGGGAGATCTCTGAAAGCAAGAGTGGTGGCTGAAGTTATAAGGCAGTCAATCTCAAGGTGTGAACTCAGAGGCAGGACCCTGATGGCTGGCTCAGCGGTTCCAATTTTCAGCTCAGTCTGGATAAATCATAACAAGGAGAACTCAAGTGCTGGTTTTACTGCATGAAAATACAGGTGTGGCTGAGTTCTCTGATGTAGGCAAATTTCATTTTGGTCTCAGTGAAGCTGCCAAAGCAATCCCAGGTGAGCAATCTGAAGGCTCAGCTTATAAAGGCTCCGAGGAGACTGACACAATTAAGACTGAAGTTGCCCTGTCATTACCAGAGATACATGTGGTGTAAAAGCAAGTGGCAAAAAGCCAGATTTTATCACTTTCCCCTGTGAGCCAGAATGCTCACCTCCTCCAGCAAGGGAGAGATGCACCCTGGAGTGGGTCCCTGGCAATATGTTCGTTGTTTCCTGGTGGAAATCAGCCCAATGGACCAGTGAGTTCTCTTTGGAGAATGTTTAAAGAGGATCAAACAGTGGGGAAGAGGAAAGAAAAAGGAATCAGGAGTCATAGATACAAAATCCCACTGCCTCTCTGAGAAACTCCTGTTACCAGATAAGACGTGATAAACCTAATCATCCTCGGAGTGTGAATCTGCACACACGAATGCTTGATGGCTGCCTTAACAAGATAACCCTGTGCTCCAGTTCCTGCTTGTTGCCCAGTCCTGGCTTCTCCTTCCCACTGGTATCCTGCAGTGCAGCAGTAACACTTGCCTGCCCACATGCAGAGTGCTACCTAAGAAGACTGAGCGGTGTTTCAGCTTTTTTGATTTTTACTTAGCAGTTGAAAACAGGAAAAAAGAAACATCCACATGGAACCAGCCTGCTCTCTGTGGATCACCAGCAAGCAGTTTGCCCATCTCTGCCCAAGAGCTTTGCCTGGGCTCATATCCAACAACTGAAGCAAAGGGACTTTGTTTCATACCTTGGAGATTAGCATGCTAGAAATCCTCTTTTATGGACATTATCATGTTCTTCACTAAGAACATCATTGTGGGATGCTGTGTATTGTGATCTCAAAATCAAGAGGAACTCTGGGTGCTCAGAAAAGATGGGTCTACATCTAGATGTTAGGATGACTGGATGATAGCAGGAATGACTGGAAGATAAATGAGAAAGCAAATAGTGATGACACCAGAGGGGAAGAAGAAAGGAACTGTGCTCATGGAATTTGTAAGCAGAACCAGATCTGAGCTCGAGATTGCTCCACACCAGCCTGTAGAGGTGTCAAGAAGAATATGAGGGTTATACATTCCTTAAATAGAGATATTTTGGAGAACTTTCAATAATCTTCTCAGTAGATGCAAATTGCTAATAGTAGAGGGAAGGTGGGCTCAATGTCACAACCTACTCAGTCACAGAGATATCAGGTTTAAGTGGGAGGCATGTCTCTGGCATATATCTCCCGATGATAACTCAAGGTACAAAAAATGGCATTACTTAATGAAATTATTAATAGTCTATGCAATCGCAAGCTCTTTGGGGGAAAATACTTTGTTAAGTTAGTGCTGTTTTCCAGTTTGGCTGATCTCCTGCAGCACTTGACTAACAAGCATTACAATCAAAACATAAATACAAAGGTCTTGTTGCTTACCTGTTGGGCTGGGATAGTTGATTGCTGGAAAAGGAAATAGAAAAACAACACATCACAAATCATAATCAAAGTCTGAAAATAAAACAAGCACATCAAGAAAGGTCAGAGTTGTACAAATCTCTTAGCAGCATCCCTGCAAAACAGCACTGCTCAGTGTTTGCCTCGGTGATAGAATAAGCTGCTGACTCACTGATCCGAACAGCAACAGATCTTAATAATGGGTGATCCTGGAACTGCACAGGGAATCCCTTTGGGCTTTCTGAGCAGTTTCTTTCTGAAAGCAGTCACTGGGAGATACAGCTTGATATCTAAGAGGGGCATCAGTGTCACTTTCCAGGTCAAGAAAGTTGTGAGATCATGCAAACACAGGTGGAAGGAGCTCTGTACTTCATGCTAAAATACAGGGTCCAGACTCCTAATGGGAGTGAAGGAATCATAAGGTTGTGAGAATGGATGAGCTGGGAGCTGTCTGGATGCTGGAAAAAGAAGCATGGTCAACGTCTGTCAATTGGATGATCTGAGATTCAGGATGTTGGGCAGCGCTACAGGTTTATTATGGCTAGTTGGGAAATGAACTGTGCATTCAGCTCTGGAAACAATGAAGTTCCTTGAAATCTTCTTGCTTTTATGGGCATGTGGCTAATATGCAGAATTCACTGGCTGTTCTCTGAAATATGTCACTGAGCCACAGGTAGCAGTGGGGTTTTGGGCTCCCACAGAGAGGAGAGTGTGTTGGAGCTGCTGGGTAAAAAATGAGTTGAGACTGACCATAGTAGGTCTCTGTATAATGCTCTGCATTGATGGTAGCAGCCAAAAAATGGCCAAATATGACAGTACCATGCCATCAAAACTCTACGCATCTGAGAGATACACCCAAGGTTTGCAGGAGACAACATCTACACATGCCCATATCCATTGGCATGACCCATAGCTGGCAGCTCAGACTTGCTCTCATAGCCAGGACAGAGGAGGAGACACCTACGTTCCATGTACCGGATGATGCGAGCAGCCATATCGCCAGCCCCAAAGCTGGTGATAGGTGTCAAGCGAACTTCGTAGCTCTGAGGCACCTTCAGGTTGGGCAGGATGTGCTCCAGCAACAGGCCCTTCTCCATTTTCTGCACAGGAATGAAGGTTTGGATGATGTTTCGTTGAGCCAGCTGCATGAAAAGAGAATCCACAGTGTCATGAAAATCCTGAAATTAGAAACCAGAGAGATCATATTCACTATCTAACACCTTGCTTTTTCCCTTCCTATATAGGCAAGTATGCCTGCTTTGTCAGTGAGACTGTCATGTAGAACTGGCTAAAAATTCCCTTCTCTGGCACAGAACAGTGATCAGGAGCCTGAGCTTTCACTGAAAAAAAGCTTTCAGGTCCTCCTGATTAGGGGGATGACTTGAAATATGGACCTGGAGCAATTCCATGTCAAGACCAGTGGCTCCAAGATGGGAGAAATAAACCTGATTGACTTGCATCAGTGCACCAAGGTCCTGTGCTCATTGCAGCACGGCATTTTGCCAAGACCCCCTTGAGTTCACAATCACTGCTGCAAAATTAATTCATTTGCTGTCTGTATCCTGTGGCATTTCATTTGGTGCCTTGCTGGAACTTACCTACCAGCTATGCTTCCTCAGCACCCTTCCATGGGATCTGCCCTTCAAGCCTAGCCATTACTACTGCTTCAGACCAGGGTAAGGTGTCTTGTGTAAGTCAGGGATCCTCTGCAGTCACCCACAGGCTCCCTCTTTCTCTAAATTCCACTGAAGATGCAAACCATACTACCTGAACCATACCAGCTGAACAGAGTTTCATACACTAAGGCATCAGGGAAGCTTCAAGAAAGCGACTGGAAAAATATCGTTGTCAAAATCACCACCACTAAAAATGATGAATTATGTGTCAGCAAAACTTCCCTGCCACAGTCATGCTTGCTTGGCAGGGGAAGGACAAGAACAAGGATTATACAGTAAAGATACAATCTCTATTGCTGTGCAGTGCCTGGATCCCTGCAGCAAGGTTTGGTCCTGATATGTTACTGGGGATGCTGGTCCTGGCAATAAGGCCTTCGGCAGAGCTTTCTATGGCCTCACATTCACTATCCCAGACACTAACCTCCCCTTGATAACATTCTCTAGGCTGACAAGTTTCATTGCAAAGAAAATTCTCCTGATAGCTGGGCTCAGTGATCATCACAAATTCTGCAATAACAGGACTGAAAGAGGGATGCAGGGAGGAAAGTTTTCAGCAAATCCATCAGTATGGAGATTGTGGGGCAAGAGCGCAGTGTGAGGGTAAGGCAGGAGCAGAGGCCAGCAGCAAGAGGGGCCAAGGGAGGGATGCAGGCAGAGCACCCGAGCAATGCAAGCACATGCAATCCCTCTGATCCCCACCTACCCTAACATACATGACTCTAAGCTCCAGCTGAGAAGGAATGGCTGTCACTGGACCCAGCCAGCTCCCAGTGCCAGAGCCCCATTCTTTTCCAGCACGGCCAGGACCCATTTCCTCAACTGAGCCAAACTACCCACAGGTTGCACGGAGCTCCCATGCAAAGGGCAGGGCTGGACCAGACCCTACCACAGTACTGTGCAAAGTCCCCCACAGAGATGCGGCTGCATGCTGTTTTCACAGCCAACAACAAGCTTTGTACCTGCTTAAGCTGATCAGGCTGCAATTTGCTTGAGGAACTGGCACCCTCCTCATCCCCAGGTAAGAGGGGTCAGAGGACTGGGAAGGCTCCAGTGCCTTCCCCTATCCCTGTACCTTCCAGGGAACAGCCTCAGTGGGCAGAACCAGGGCAGTACCTGTGGGAATCAAGCATGACGGTGGCACTGGGCTGCTGTCAGGTTCCGTACTGTCACTGTCTGCATGCATGCATGCAAGCTGGGTGCAGGTCCAACTGGCATGCCTGCTGCTCAGCCCTTCCATCTGCCAGCCTGCAGCACGACTGTTATGCCAAGAGTGGAACCAGATCCTGGTGGCAGTGATCTCACCTGGGATCATTAGCACCAGACCATCATTTACTGGGAAGGAGAGGAGGAGGCACGAAACATAGGCAGGGGATTGGGGTGGCATGGCCTCTGGCATGGGGCTTTTTGGGAAGTAGAGCTTGACCAGGGGGCTGGTGGCAGCTCCTCCTTACAGGCTGCCACAGAGCCTGGGCAAAGGGAAGGTAGCCAGCAAACAGGAGGGGGTCAGGAGCCATTTCCCTTGTCTAGACATAACCTTTAGAAGAGAAACAAAATGGAGAATCGAAGAGAAGCCTGAAGGTGAGGTTCAGACAGTGCAAATTCCACCTCATCTGGGAGCTGTGTGGAATTTGGGTATCTAAAGCCTCTGGGAATAACATGAAATTACGTATTCTTCCACATCATTTAAGCCAGGACAAGAAATCAGCCTCTAGTCCAGACTGCAAAATTCCTGAAGCACCAGTCAAGTGTATCCACACGGGCATGTCGGCTTAACCAAATAAATAGTTGGATGCTATCTCAGTTTGTCTGAGAAAAATCAGAAAAGAATAACAGCACCCATGTCCCCATGGATCAGAACTGTCCTGCTTCTAGGTGGAACTTGTATCACTAGGCAATGGGCAAGGCACAACGAGTACCCTGGACGCATTTCCTCATGCAGCATAGGTAGAAAGTTTTGTGAAGGCTGAGAGAGAGAGAGAACAGGCTGGAGTTCAGCACAGTTTAGCAGGTGTGACATCAGTGCAAGGGAGAACAAGGCCTGGCTCCAGCCAGCTGCTCACCCTGTGAGTGCACAGCTGCTGTGGGCTTGCAGTGATGAGTACAGGTCCAGCAGACAGCAAAATTAGAGCCAACGTCTGGCTCCACCTCCCTCTCCCCAAGCATCCTTTGCCTTCCTGGCTGCCAGCAGCAGCTTTGTGCAGAGCTGCACACATCAGTACAGCAGGAACTTGTTTTTAATCCTTTGCTCCAGTCTCCTGTTGCTGCCTTTATGCTCTTCTCTCATGCTACCCCAGTACCTTCTTCCCTCTACCTCCTCTTCAGCCTTCTCCTTCCTTCTGATCATGCTAGCATGGTCCTCCAGTGTAATAGTGCTGCGGTGCAGTTCCTAAAGCAGAGGCAGGCACAGAGGACAATGAAACACTGGCCACCTTATTCAAGATGCTGAAGCCTCTGTGGAGAATCTCAGGCACTGAGCTCATTTATCACCAGGCTCAAGATGCTGCCAGTGGGCCCAGAACAAGAGTGCAGAGCAATGCGCAGTCTCATTTTGCCTTCACCTCCTTCCATTTCAAATAATGAGAGGGAGGGAATGGGAATAGAAACAAACAAGCAAACTCACACTATTTCTACCAGATGGCTGTGGATATCACACAGGATGCAGAGGTGGGAATGCTCTTGCAGAATGGTTTTTCTAACACCTTACAAAGGACAAAAACACCCCAGGTGGGATGTATATATCCACATGTACAGTAGGCAAGCTGTCCCTTTCCTCTGTCACTTGTAAGCAATATTAGCGACCAAGAGAGAGAACCAAGAAGTCTCCCAGCACTACAAACTGGGTCTGCCCTTTCTCATTCCTCCCCATCATACCCTGTTGGCAGGTCTCGATCAGCCAGTCCCACACCTCATTGTGTAAACTGGTTTGTGGTCCACACAGAGTGGTTGTGCCAGTGTGACCAGCCTCAGCTGGCTTGTGAGCCAGGAAGACACAGCCTCAGAGAGAAGAGCCACACTGCCTCTCACCACGTTTCATTCCCAGCTGGGATGCTGTCTCCACAAAAGGACCAATGTATGACACCAACACGTCCAAGCTTTTTGTGTGTTAGAAGTGAAAAGGATGCTGTTTGCAGGCTGAATTATGTTGAAAGCAGGCGTGTATCAGCTATCGGATATAATAAAGCCAAAGCCTATTAACAAACGCATCTGTCAATATTTACTGTTGCAGCGCTGCACAGCAACCCGCACCAGGGATTCAAAGGACCATGATAACCTGTGTGTGCTGGGACTCAGCATGACCTGAGCAGCCACACACGTGCTCTTACAACCAGCTGCAGACTGCACTGCTACATGCTTAAGGGAGAAAGTGAAATCAGAATGAAAACCTGTTTCATTACTGAGCCTCGGGAATCAGTGCAAACATCAGCTAGAAAAATTTATATTAAAGCCCCACAGATTCTCCAGTAAGCTGATCAGAGCAAAGGAACCACTTGGTGGGCATCCTGCTTCCCAGCATTGCTATTCACTCCTGCTGCTCTCTCCCCTTATTTGTCCCATTTCAACAACTACTCTGCTCAGCACCAAACATTAGCTCTGCTCTCCAGCATCTTCTCTAAAAATTCCTTCTACATGCACTTGCTCTCTCTTTCCCTTTTTCACTCTGCCTCACTCCAATTGCAGCCAAGCCACCCAGTTTATCTTCTGGCATAGACACGTCCCAGTTTAGCATGATCCAGTGGTCAGGTGAAGGTGACAACAGCAGAAGGGCACTTTTCCTCTGACAGGTAATACTACTCAGAATGTGAAAGAACTTTCCATTTTTATCAATTCAGACTGTTTGCCAGGAGTTTTGAGCACAATATATAGCACTGTCCTAGGGGGCTGCAAGCATCATCTCATGTTGAATTTCCCCTGTGACTGAGACTGCCATGAATGAAACCAATCTAAATGCAGCTAAGATAGAGCTACCCCATTCCAAAGGGGCTGTTGCTTGAAAGGACCAGGACCTCAACAGGAACAATCACACCACTGCCCTCAACATGAAGAGACTGGCAGTACCTGTAGCCTTAAACTGGTGATATCCAGGAAAGATGTACCCAAACACCCAATCCTTGGGACTGGAAGGTGCCGAGCTTTGTTATGGCACCAGTGGCAAATTCTTGAATGAATGTGAGGCTCTGCAATGCAAATCACCTTGCCATCACAGTAGGCACCAAGCAGAGTTGCCCCCTCCCTCCCCTCAGGACTTCCACCGATTTCTTCTGGTGCCAGGATTGAGCTGTTCACACTACTTGGGGCTTTGCTGAGGTTTCTTAGGCATCTAATCCTCCACCAGCCGCTGCTGGAGAATGAGTCCAGAATATGACTGAGAATAAGATGATAGCAAATTCTTAGGGAAAAATTAAAAAATGCTCAGAAAGAGAGGCAAGAGAAAGGTGGGGGTTTGGAATTTTAAGAACATCTCCTAA